CAATAAAATCCCCTTTTACTATTATTATTTGTTCTCATTCAGTACTTTGACCGCGACACGTGAATATTAGTACTATCACTAGTAAAATGTATGGGAATGTTTACGGTACCAACCAGTACCAGATATAATTTAATTTTTTGGAGGAAGTTTTAGATTTGTATGAGTAATATTGAGACAATGTCTCAATAGAACTAAACTCTTTTTTTTTTTTTTTTTTTTTTTGGTGACCAATGAAATTTATAGTCACTATGTGCACCGAATAAACTTCGTTCCTCTGTTATAAATTCAATACAAATTGTTTTTATTCACTTTTAAGTTATACCGAATATAAATATGCAAGAGATAGAGGGTTGATTATTACCGAACCCTTAAGATTTTTTTAAAACGTATAAATGTAGTCACAAAGAAAATATGGTTTTCCAGCCACCTTTGGAACTTAACCAATTCCTTTAACGGTTTACATTCGATGCACGAGAATGGTAAAAAGCGTGGCATGTGCTACAACTTTTCCATTTGCAATTGTATATTAACATTATATGTTTAGAAGTGCAATTATATGCGTGATATTGCTTAGCTTTTGAAGTGCAAATTGTGCCCAATGGCATCATATCACTTTCCATGAAATGTATGAGATGTGCAATATGGTGTCATATCACTTTTCATGAAATGTATGAGACGTGTAATATGGACATTAATCTCATTCAGGGCCAGATTTTAGGGTGTGCAAAACGTCCAATTAACGCGGGGTCTCAATTTTTAGAGGGCTCAATATTTATTGTTGACGTAATATAACTACTTAAGATATAAATAAAAATATGTAATTAATCCCGAAACTCATCAGTTTTCTTTTCCCAAATTACTTCTCTCTCTCTTAATAATTAGGACTTAATTCTTCCAAAAGGCTAAACCCCAACCCTAAGGGCCCCCACACCCCGACCCGACAGAGCATTTGGGAGGATGTAAATCACGGTAACTAAACTGAACATGAATCACAGAGGCTAGACCCGTGCTCACTGCGCACAAGGAACCCCCTCACTTTGAGAGGTTGCTCCCACAGATGATATCTAAAGCACTGAATCTCTATAGATCAGATAATTTCAAACATGTACCGTTCACTAGTTCACCACCAATATCGCATGAGAAATTGATTGCACCCCCCCCCCCCCTCCCCCCTCCCCCCAACAGATAGTTCTACTTGCATTCTAAACGATAGTGGCAGCCCAATTGGTAGCTACTAGCCATGTAGTTTTAAGATGTTTTTATTTTATTTTTTTATTTGTTTGGACTTTGGAGATATTAGGTTAGTAGGATTCTATGGCTTCATGAGCGGAGCCTTAAAAATCTAAAAAAGGTCTGGCCCTGATCTCATTATTAACAAAAACGGCACAATTTATTGTGAATTGGACAACAATTCGAGAATACATATGTTCATATTTGTGAAAGAAAAGGGCCATTATTGAGTTGAGGTCGTTTGTCATCTTGCCAACTTTTGCAAAAGTTCATGTCTACTTCATGTATTGTGTTTGCTACAACATAAAGGCACTAGCCGGCCAGCTGCCTAATTTGGTACATATGTTCTTGATGGGTGTTTGTAGTGTGCGGTTTAAATGTGAATGTAAAGATCTTTACCGTAATAAATAATGAAATAACGTTTGATGTAAATTTTAAAACTGTAACTCAGCCTAATGCAGACACGTACACAAAGTATTAACAATTATGGAAAGTATCATTATGTTTTATAGTGGACTGAATTTAAACGTTAAAAACTTGCTTGCTTTGGGTTGGTGTGGGTGCGGGTGAATAAAGTTATGATTGGACGACTAGTTAGATATTAAGTACTAAGTGTAGCATTTTTTTTTTTTTTTTTTTTGAGTGACTAAGTGGGTGGAACATGATTCTCGTATCTAAAAGTTATAATTTTTGTTCATACATTTTCTCGGTTAAGTTAGTCACACAGGTCTTTCTAGTGCGACTTACATCTCCTATGTAGCAAACTAGGTTTCTACTCTTTTCTTTTTTGACGAGGAAAAACAACAATCACTACCAAAATTTGCACTAGGTAAATCTTACTTCTGTGTAATAGCCAACAAATTGTACTGCACTAAGAAAGGCGAGTCGAATTATACTTTATTTTTTAAAGAACCTAATGTATAGTCAAGGTTTGTTTTTTCTTCAATACCGTAACTTAATGAAACACATACTTTATGCTTTTAATTGTGAAATATCATAAAATTTCCCTATTTGAGACTAGCATATACAATTGCACCATTGTTTCACATTATTCAATTTGGTGTTTATATCATACCAATAGACCCCCCAACTCTACCAAATCTACAGTCCAATAAACTAATGCCAAAGCACGAGTTAAAATACATACATAGCACGTTACATTGCAAATCTCTAATACATTGCATATGCAACCATAATAGGCCAGGGTTTTTATGCTTATTTAATTACCGGTCATAGAATTTTATGTCAACGTCATTATACCATTTTAGTATTTTACTTTCAAAGTGTATTACTTTTACATAATTGATTCTTTTTATATATTTGATTTATAAGTAAATTTATTTTTTAAGGTTGATTGGGGCTGATCAATTCGCGGTAATATAAAAATTTAAAAAATTATTGTCACGTCAAGAAGTGATCATTAATAGGTAAAATTATATAGAGAAAATGACATTTTTTTTTTCGTTGTATGACAAGACAAAACTCATAGCCACTAGTCCACTACCCAAGTGTGTACGGGGTAAACCTGCTATTGTGTAATTATGCTATTGTGTAATAACCCGTAATTACACATGACTCGATTGCAAGTAAGAGTTTTGACAAGAATCGAACTCGTAACTTTCTGATACGAGAATTATGTTCCATTAGCTCGACCACCTCTTTTGAGACAAACAACGTAACAACATTATTCTTTTTCAATTCGACAAACGATTCTATCTCAATAAATTATTTTCTCTCAATTGTATCTTAGGTTACCCTACCTCCTCCTCTTCTTCTTCTTCTTCTTCTTCTTCTTCTTCTTCTCTCTCTCTCTCTCTCTCTCTCTCTCTCTCTCTCTCTCTTTTAATAATACAAGTCATCTGACCTACATTTGGTGTGATAAGACTAATCTAGTGGTGTTTGTGTGTATTGAGTAAACATTGTTCATACGACAGGCTATATCAAGTAAGTGCTTTGGGTTGGCCGGTGTGAGTGCGGGTGAATAAAGTGATGATTGGACGACTAGTTGGATATTAAGTACGAAGTGTAACATTTTTTTTTTTGAGTGACTCAGTGAGTGGAACATGATTCTCGTACCTAAAAGTTACTCGTTTGATTCTTGCCAATATCCTCTCTCGGTTAAGTTAGTCACACAAGTCTTTCTAGTGCGATTTGCATCTCCTATGTAGCAAACTAGGTTTCTATTTTTTTCCTTTTTTTTTTTTTAACAAGGAAAAACAACAATCACTACCAGAGTTTGCACTAGGTAAACCTTTTTTTTTTTTTGAATGCTACGGGCTCTATTACAATGTAGTATCTGTTTATATACAAAAAGGTAAACCTTACTTCTTGTAATAATCAACACATTATATAGGAGAAGTAAATCACTAAATTGCACTAAGAAAAACGAGCTATACTTTATTTAAAAAAAAAAAAAAAAAAAAAACTAATGTATAGTCAATGTTTGTTTTCTTCTTCAATACCGTAACTTAATGAAACACATACTTTATGTTTTTAATTGTGAAATATCATAAAATTTCCCTATTTGAGACTAGCATATACAATTGCACCATTGTTTCATATACTATTCAATTTGGTGTTCTATCATACCAATAGACCCCCCAACTCTACCAAATCTACAGTCCAATAAACTAATGCCAAAGCACGAGTTAAAATACATACATAGCACGTTACATTGCAAATCATTAATACATCACATATGCAACCATACTAAGGTTTTTATGCTTATCTAATTACATTACAAGTCATAGAATTTTATGTCAACGTCATTATACAATTTTAGTCTCTTACTTTTAAAGTTTATTATTTTTACGTTCTAATATTAATTGATTCTTTTTATATATTTGATTTATAAGTAAATTTATTTTTTAATGTTAATTGGGCCGACCAATTCATGGTAATAAAAGAGGTGAAAAAAATTATTGTGTCACGTCAAGATGTGACCATTAATAAGTAAAATCATATAGAGAAAATAACATTATTATTATTATTATTATTATTATTATTATTATTATTATTATTATTATTATTATTATTATTATTATTATTATTTGTATAAGAGATAACCACTACCCAAGTCTGTATGGAGTAAACCTTGCTATTGTGTAATAACCCGCAATTACACATGACTCAACTGGAAGAGTTTTGACAAAAATCAAACTCGTAACTTTCTTGTACAAGAATTATGTTCCATTCACACGACAACCTCTTTAGAGGTAAATGTTATTATTCTTTTTCAATTCGGCAAACGATTCTCTTTCAATAAATTATTTTTCTCTCAAATGTATCTTTGGTTACCTATTCTTCTTCTTTCTCTCTCTCTCTTTTTTTTTTTAAAAAAAAAAAAAAGGAAAAAGTGTTAAATTGACCCCTCAGTCAAGTGGATAGTGCAATTGGATCCCCTAAGTGAAAAAAGTTTCATTCAAGTCCCCTAAACCGGTAAAATTGTTCAATTAAGTCCAATTTGATTTGTTTATCAGGTTCACTTAGGAGACCCAATTGCACTATACATGTCATCTAGTTGCATTGGTGCCTGGTGTGATAAGACTAATCTAGTGGTATTTGTGTGTACTGAGTAAACCTTGTTCATACGACAGGCTAGAACAAGTAAGTGTTAACAAGAATCAAACTTGTAACTTTCAAATACAAGAATAATATAATATCTTATCCACTTAGCTACGCCCGTCCCGGGGCTAATCTAGTGGAGTCTTAGCCGAGCTCAAGACAAAATCTCCTAATTTAAGAACAACCTCGTGTTAATTAAAGCAACTCAAACTCCTCTCAGTTTAACCAACATATTTTGCATATAGAACATTTGGTATCCATACGAATATAAGACTAATTCAGATTCAACTCAACCGTACCCTAACCCGGCCACCCTTTCACACTACTTTGAAGCAATTGAGAACTGTACTAATCAATAGAAGAAGGCAGAGGTGGAACGGATAGACGATCTACAAACAGGGCAAGTTGAGCTACTACTCAACCATCGATCAATGCAATGAGAGTGGAAAGCGTGCAGACAATTAGGCATCACTTTAATCATCTCTCCGTCCTCGAAAACCCCCAGGCATATGCAACACTCGTCGCCGTCCCTCAACCTCGTATTCTCCGACGATAACCTGCAGTTGTGCATGAAAATGGGCAGGCTCTTGATCACCTCGGAAGACGCCGCCGGCGCCGGCGCCACCACGCTAACGTTATTGCCACCCATCATCTCTCGTCGTCCAATGTTCTGTCGGGTGACGACGATTGAACTTGAGATCACATCATCATTGGTGCTGGGAAAGGAAGCGTGCATGCGAATGAAACGCAAGAACAGGAAAATGATGAGGAGAAGGGACAGCCCAAAGAAAAGCAGCGTCACCAGAAACCTCTTCGTGCCCTGGTCGTTTATGTACCAATGGAACGGCTCAAATTCCTCCATGCCCACCGCCGATCGACTTCGAGGAAATTAAGGTTTACATATATAGGATGATAATTAGTACTATGATTTGCATTATTATTATTATTATTGTGCCATCAGATCATATATATGTGTGTGTTGTGAATTGGCTTTAGGAATCTAGCTAAGCTAGCCAGCTAGCTAGGTGATATGATATGATGGGCAATATAATGAACTTGTGCACGTAATTAACTTATAAAAACATGGTCGTTAGTTCCTTGCCATTTATGTGTAGAAAAGCCAGGATTCTAGAAACAGTTAGAATCTGTCTTGCGTTTCATATGCTTCTTTGTGGCTTTTGTGAAAATCGATAAAGGTGTGTTAGGCATGCTTGCTATTATATTGTTACGTTGTTGCTGTTGCTAGCCTGGTGATATATAGAGACACATGTATATATAGTCAGGGCAGACCACTAAGCAATTTCGGATAGTTGATAAGTAAACTACTAATAAGTTAAAGGGTTAAGGGTTAGGTAAGAGTAAAAGTTAAATTATTTGAGCTTAATTGAGTCTAAATATGAACTAGTCTCATAGTAGAAATTTCGAATGTCATTTGCAGACTTAGTAGCCTATTAGGTGGAATGACTAGTGTTTGGTGCCCACAATGAATGAAATTCTCACACTGTAGCTGTTAGAATTCGAACCAACTGAGTTGTTTTTTGGTTTAAAGGGAGGGGGTGACCCTGCTACTGTCTATTTCCTTGTAGGCACGTAGCTCTCATGCATTCACGGGTGATAATCTCTTCAATCCCAGGGGACCAACTGAGTTGTTTGTGCAGGTTATAAATTGATTAACTTTGATATAAGATTGTAAGTGTATGTGCTTGTTATTACTATGTGTTAGGTTTCGAGACTATGTATAAGCAAAAGTAGAAGAGCTTTATATTTACCGTGAATCTGAGTGATCGATATAAGTAAACGAGATAATATATTGAGTATCGGAGGGGTAACTTAATTGTCACCATCAACATATCTAGAGATGATAGGGTAGGAATGAAAAGGTTTGTGGTGTGAGATATGAGGAGTTTTGAGTGTAGTGGTAGAGAAAATTGAACTTATTAATTGCTTGGCAAATGGAAATGGAAAGGGGGTGTGGTGCTTTCTTCCTTCCAATTTCCCAAAGCAAATTATTGGTTCAAACTCGTAGTAAAGATGATGTTAACAAACACTTGATTGGGATGGGAGGAATGGGAAAAATTGTGGATTGTGTGTAGATTTCAACTACCTAGCTAGCTGCGGCTTCTGCTGCTGCCTATGTGTATTGCAACACTCTATGCTTTAAGTAAAGGCAAAAGTGAGCATTCCCAATTGAGCCACCCAACTTTTAGTTGCCTTCATCACTTAGAGTCGTGTAAAATGAACACCATCAGATCGTTAACACTCAAAGAAGATGGATATATACCAGAGTGATATGGACACTAAATAGAAGATGGTCAATCATCATATCCAGACAATTCGTCAAACACATGCAACTTGTCCCCAAAGTAATGTTTACTTGTGACTTAGCTCAATGGTTAAGTAGACATGAGAGAAGAGACTAATATTTAAATCTCGGCGGCAGCAGTGTGAGGATTATGTCCAAAGTAAACAGATCCCTTGTGTAGGATTATGCTCAAAGTGAGCAGATCCCTTGTGCGCACCAGCATTTGAATTTGTCTGTTAAGCCATTGTGCGGGATTATGCCCAAAGTAAGAGATCCCTTGTGTGGGATTATGCCCAAAGTGAGTAGATCTCTTGTGCGCACCAGCATTTGACCCTGTCTATTGAGCCATTGTGCGGAATCAGTCAATATTTGACCCTGTCTATTGAGCCATTGTGCGGGATTATGCCCAAAGTGAGCAGATCCCTTATGCGCACCAGCATTTGACCTTGTCTGCTGAGCCATTGATATTCCAAATGCTTTGTCAGTCTGGGTGTGGAGACATGAAGGAAATTTAGCTCATATAAAATGGTTTCTTGAATGAGTGGACATAACTTTAATAACCGGGTAATAATGCATGGAAAAATAAAAGGAAAAGTATAAACATTTTTTTTTCAACTTATGTATTACCAATATCTCCAAATCACACTCCAGAACGAGTTTGATTGGTGTGACTGGTCGTGCACTCATGACCTTAAGAGAGGTCGAATTTAAAGGTGTCTCTTACAATTAAAACATGCTCAGAACACCTCGTGATAAAATCAGAGTCCAGATTAAACCATTTCGAGCCCTATTTTTGCAATCATTAGATGTAGTCATGGTTGTAAGGAGGAACAGGGAGCGTTTATCTTGCAATTTTCTTTTACATATTGTATTGATATCTGCATCTCGTAAAATGAGGCTAATACAACTTACAACTTACAAGCATGTCTCGGGTTGGAATTTCACATTGCAACAGTCTCAATGTCCATATTCAACAAGAAGCTAAATCAACTGCAATTAGCTTGATATGCAGGAGGAGCTATCATTTCTTCTCTAAGGGAAACTAAATTTACATATATTCAGGCTCCCTAGTGACCTAATTCTGCAAGCCAAATTGATAATAATAATACATAACTATATTATTGTAGACATATGGCACAGGAAGTTTCAAGCCCAGAGAGCAAGAATTGACATCGACATAGAGCCAAGAACTAGGGCAGCAAAAGACGCCTTTTTCAACAATGGCTCCGAACTCATCAATTTGTTGTGGAAGAAGTCGAGAGCTATGAGGTCCACAAGGGCCATGTATATCAGTATGCCAGAAGACAAGGACCCGAGCAAGCCTTCAAGAATCAGCGCGTTTGGACTGCTGTCATCGTAGCCAGTAACGGAGAAGATAATCATACCAAGGACGATACCCATTGGGGTTGTCACCGAGAACATGAAGCTCATGTAAGCCGTTGTTCCAAAACTAAAACCCGCCTGTCATAATCACCACGAAGTTCATACACAGAGGTTAGATTAAACGACTCTGTTGCATAGGAAATTTTTTCACATGAACATCGATTATGTAGAATAACTATTCCCCGTTCAACATTCGTGAAGAGAAGCATACAAAAAAGCGCCAAGTTTTTTTACGTTTTCATTCAACATTACTATACAAGACTTTTGTTTTAGCCATGAGAGTTTACTAGTTGAGTTGGAAATTGCGAATCTATTATGATAAGAGATGCTTGAGATATTTTCAGCTATTGTATACCTTTATACAAGACAAATTCTGCACTGTAAATGTTGAAATGTTTATTATTCAGATTCAGGATAGAAGCATCCCCAAATGATCGCATTTCATTTTAGACTAACAGCCACGTTTCATCTTCGCTAACATGAAAATTAGACCTTAGCTGATCTATATGGTACTCCATATTATGGTATAGATCATCCACCTAATAGGGGCACAACCTAACATTCAACTAATAACTAAAAAGATTCAACAAATCGGGAGAAGTTTTACACGCAATTGTTAGCTGCTATACTATCTATACTCGATCGTAATCCCAGGATTTGATCTTTGAACCTTAAACAGACCATTACTTCCAATCCGAAAAGACTAAACAGTTTTATTCAAGTACCATAATAACACACAGTTCAACTAAGAGTTTGCAGGATTATAAGCAACTCAAGTCTGGGTTTTAATCTCATCTCTCTAATTACCAAAGAATACAAAATGAAAGGGGAGAAAATGCTTAAAGTTGGTATTCCTTTCAACTTCTTTACAGGGTAATAGTTTTCTTTCAATGTCAATTCTTATACTGTATCAACTATTGAGGTGTAAGAATGATTCAGGGTATCTTTTCTTTCCTTTTTCCTTTGAAACGAACCATAAAAAAGATTGTATCTTTACAATTTAATACGAGAATCCCGTGATTCTAATTCTGCAAATATACTGAATTTGATGCGAATAGAAACTAAATAATCTAGAAAAGGAAATATTGATAAGTTTTTAAGCCAGTAATTACCTGGGCAATGCAACCTCCTAGGCCCATCCCTTCAAAGATCTGGTGAAATGCTAGCGCCGCCACGAGTGGCTTGATCGTGCACTGATTCTGAGACATTCCCATTGTGACGCCGATAATCACCGAGTGAAATATAATCCCAATTTCCAGAACCTGAGACACCAATTTCTGCTTCAGCCTCACCAATTCCTCCGATTCCCCTCTTCCCTCCTCCGCCGCCGAGGATACCTCAATCCCTAGCTCCGCCTCTTTCTCTGTCTGACCTAATTTCTTACTCACAACCCCCAATTCTTCACTCTCTCCAATCGGCGTGTAATCTTTCGTCACTTTTTGGCCGTGTCCGTGGCCGTGACTTTCGACGTGAGAAGTTGCGGTCAAGTCAACCAAAAGCGCGGTGAGAACGCCGATTAGCGTTACGAGGCCGGAGAACGGAAAGTCCTTCCAGGGATGCCGCGACGCCAACTGGCAGTCGGCGAGCGCGTCATAGGCGTCCGGGAGCACGTGCACGAGCGAGGTGGAGAGAATCACGCCGGCGGCGAAGCACTTAATTATCAGAATAGCCTTGTCGTAAACCGCCTTGCCTTGAAACAACCGGGCGAGCACAACCGGCGACGATATGCCGACGACGCTCGTGAAGAATATTACGAAAATGGAAATATGCTTGAGGTGAGCAGCGGCTCTGCTGTCCCTGCACAACAGAGCGCGTGCGGTGTCCGTCGCGCACAGAGCCATGGCTCCGACCGACCGCCGACGAGCTGCGGCACTAAAAAGTCTCCGGCGAAACGAAACCGTCGAGCCCGTGAGAGAAAATAGGGTAGCGACGTGGCGAAAACTTGGAAGATTTGTGAGAATGGTGACTATTTGAACGGAAATTGTTAGGGGCTGTGGGGCCCACTTAACACTGGTTGGCTTTGAATGTGGCGGTACTCTTTGCCACTTGTTAAGGTACACTCCTACTGTCCTACACAAAAAATAATGTTTTGTTTTATGACATCATTCTTATTTCATTATTTACACATTTGAATTTCATCAAAATTAAGAATATTGGTATACCACCTTATGATTGATGGGTTTACTTCAAAAAAAGAAAGAAATAATAATATCATCAATATTACTCTGTATTATTTTAAAATTATTATATTTTCAATTGAAAAAGTGATTTTTTAAATTTTTATCTCATTGAATAAGATATGGTGTATAAAAGATTTTACACAGGATTAGTTGTATTAAGTATGTATGTACTTCTTGATAAATATTACTGAGGAAAATTTTAATTAAGAATAATAGTTATTACACTTCAA